TCAACCAAATCTCTTCAGAGAGGGGACAGTCTGGTTCCAGCTCCAAGTAGTATATCGTCTGTGTAAAGATTGACCTCAGGCAGGACCTTCACTTAATGTAAACTTGGACTTTGGTTTAGATACAGGAGGCTGTGTTGGATCTGACTTTATCTACAGTAAATGTCCAACATGACTCATGGTTGTGTCCTGCTCTAAATGCAGTCTATCCTAACATGGTGTCTTGGTCTGAACTATGTCAGTGACTAATTTTGAAGTTGATTAATGTTGAAGGAGTTTTGTTATGTAAAGTTTGGTGTCTGCAGTTTGTTTTCATTGCATTCAGCTCGACCTAAAATGATGGTGATGAGCTCAGAATATGGACAGGTTTACAGGACATCGTTAAATGATCTGATCTGAAGTGCATCATGCTTTTCTGGTCAGTTAAAAACGACGTGCTCCTATACTGCCACTGTGAGGCAAAATATTAGACAAATATTCTTAGAACGTTATGTAACGTGATACAGGGCATATCAATGGGCTTGTTGCAATAAGTATAGTTTGCTGTAGCCAGACTGCCTGCTGGACCTTGTGTATCCTCCAGACTCCATCTGCCTCTTCAGCACAGTTTACACCGGAGGTTTTCTGGTCTGGTAATTGATTGATAGTTTAGACAAGATTAGATGAAACAGTATTGATCTCCTGTAGAGAAATGAGGTCGCTGCTGCAGCAGGATTCAGTAGTAGCTCACAATAGTCTTGGCACACATGGCTTACATAAACAGGAAAAATAAGAAAGGTGTGAATATGTTAATATGCTCCTAATACATTTAAGGAATAGAAAATAAAGAGTTTAATAGAGTATTCAGATGCATGGGCTCATCGTGCTGCAATGGCTTTCTTTTTTTTATCAATGCTGCAAACTATAATTCCACACTCTCTGATTTTTGAAATAGACAAAGTTAAATTTATCCTCGAAATAGTTGAGAAATTTGTCCTGTAGCTGTGGCAGGAAATGCTGTATAAAAACCGCAGTGCTCCCCTACAATGATGGCTACATCTGCCTGGGGGCTGTCTGTGCAACATGAAACAAGCAATAATCCAAAAGTAGCATGGTGTGGCTCAGGCCAGAGCCACATTGTGAAAGGGCCTTTTGCTGCTGTGTCCCTCTCTCTGTTTACTTAGCCTGTCCATGTAATGATAGGGATATCTGTAAAACTACCACTGCTGCTGCCACACTCTCTCATTCTGTCTCCTTCTGTCTGTTTCTTCACCAGGGTTTTGCAAAGTAACCCTCTTCTCCTGCACGCACATTGGCTGCTATTTTTCATTGCTCTCTTCCTTTGTCACAACTACGACACAAACTGCCCCTATTTCCCCTTTCTCTTTTATTTATTTTTTTTCTGTCTGTGCTCTCTCCGGTCTCAATGACCTCAGGTATGTGTATGAAATAACCTGTACAAAGATTGCACTGTTTGCTCTGTTTCCCCCCATCACTTTATGTGATTTCCAGTTTAAGGTCAACAGCAGGCAGCGCCACACAAAGACACTGCTGTTGTCCTTATGTCTTTGTGTTTTGTTTCTTATAATGTGCTTTCCATTAGGTTTGCATAATCGTATGGGTAATCTGAAGGGACGCTTGTTCTTTCTTGCCTCTCTTCTATTTTTCTTCATGCATTGAAAGCTTGGTAGCGCTGCATTTGTTCTCCGCTGACGGATACAGCTGTTCCTCCTCTTTCTTTCACTCTTGTTTGTGTGTTCTTTAGTGCATGAAACGGCTCGAGCATCTATAAAAAGGCTGCTGCTTTGTCTTTGTCACTTTCTGTCATTAAAATGTGCACCAGTCAGTGCATGTGTTATTAGTCTAGCAGCCATAAAAGTGCAACGGACGCCAGGGCTTCTGGGCTTTTAGATACGAGACTGTGGAGTCTATTTCAGAAATGTTTATAAGTGGGGGTGGTTGTAGTTTTTCTGTAAATCCAGGTTTATTCATTATTATAGCTTTAGTCTCTCTCTCTCTCTCTCCTCTTCACACACACACACACACACACACACACACACACACATATACACACTGTGATGATGTCCACATTTGTCCCGACTGTTCACCTCTGTCCCTATCGGTGGTGGAAAGACTCCAGTTTCCCGGGTTACAGGATATTCTGGGATGGTGTCCCACAGAGTAAATATAGATGCCACACCCTCTTCCTGATACACACACACAGACACAGACATACACACACACACACGCACACACACACACACACACACACACACACACACACACACACAAACACAGGGGTGGGCCACCTTCACAGCTCGACATCATTTGACATTTTAGTTCAAATTAATGAACTAAAAACTTTTTCATAACTTTTTTCCCTTCCAGGGTCGATGTTTTGAGGTAGTTTAGGAAAATTGTTTTGTTACAGGGTTTCAGGTTCTGTCTGTGTATGACTGAAGGCACTCCTTGGACTCCCACACATTTCAGCACACATCTGTTAACACTGGTGATTGCTTGAGAATTGTTTGTGCTTACGCATAAACAGGCCAGAAAAATGTCAGGTTGTTCCATGCAAAACTGTTACAATTAGTGTATTGCTTAACAAGTAACAACATCTACCAACTTCTAGATTCTGTCAAAAACTGCCAGGGAAATTAAGGCATTCAGGATTTTTTTGGAGCCACTATGGGTGATTTTGAAACTGTGGTTTTGCAAACCTAACTTTGACCGCTGAGTTTAAAAAATACAGAATGTATTCAGGTCGTCCTTGTGATCCAGTTGTCTAGTGGACTCAGACATCTATTATGGCAGCATGAGTCTAACTTGCATTTTAGACTGCTTTGGTTTTCTTCTTCCTGTCTGTTGACAAACTGTGGAAATAAATAAAGCTGGATTTGGTTAAAAAAACAACCTGCAACCAGTCCAAAAGCACGTCAGTGTAGCACAGTAAAGAATTATCTTTGTGGTTTTAATTGCTTTTGTAAATAATTAAAACCACATGCTGCAATACCGCCTCTTTGAAGCAGCGTATCAGACAACAAGTCTATTCAACTGCAGCTGAATGAAGTGATTCACACAAAGTGGCTCCACAATCGCAACTGTACTTTGGACCTACAATGCTCTCTCTTTGACCATTCACTGCTGTTCAGTTTTTACCAGAGTGAATGTTATCCTGGTGGTCGTGACAACATACAATGTTGATGTTATCTCAGCACTGGTGATAACCTACAGTAGCTGCTGGCTAACAGAGACTCTTTCATGCAGAGATTTGATAGATGAGGAGCGTGCGCCTGGTTTACTGAACCTGACCCAGAGCCTCTTAGAGCCTTATTTTCTGAGCGTGCTCTGATCTCCGTCGCTCAAATACATTAAACTATGAAGCGATAAATCTGCACTCAATGATGAGTTTTAACTCTGCTCCCACTGCCCTGGAACTGACAGTCTGTCTTGCCTTCCACGCCACTATTCTTCACCATACTTTATTTAGTTTTTGCTGATGCAGCAGTTAGTCTTATTTTCCTCTACTCTTTGCTACATGGTGGCGAAACAAACTCCCATTTAGAGGCTTTTCCTTTACACCCTTCACTTTTTATTTTCCAGGCATTATATGAACTTCCAAGGGCATTCTTGACCGTGCTGTTAGATAGATGCATAAATTATTTGTCAAAGTCAGCATCTTTGTCGAACATATTCACTCTTTTTCAGGGCATGAATACATAGTAACATGCAAACGAGCTGAAATACTGTTGTGTTGTAAAATACAGACTTCTGTGTCTATGGAAAACTATGCTCGCCATCTAGTCACCAGTCCACCAGAGCGCAGGCATGGTGCCCTTTTAGTTTGGCTCCCAATACACACAGTGATCACACAACTAAAAACAAAATAAGACTTTTGATCAATTTCAAGTCAACTTCCACAGTTCATTCAGGTCTTATAGAAAGATCTAATGAAAAACAACACAAGCCGCTCTGTCCAATTCTCCCACCCTGCCACCGAGTGTACAAGGCATCACGATGGCAAGAGCTGGCAGGCGCTTTATTCACAGCACTAATGATCTCATGCCCCAACTTCATCAGGGAATAAGTAATCTCACAGCAATGCTTTCTGGGAATCAGGAAGCTCCTCCCAGAGACACAAACGCAGGAAGTGCCCACAGAATCACATCACTCTCCTTTCGCTCCTTTTTTCAACTTTCTCAATACCTCCCACTCTGCCTCTGACAATTATGCCCTGCTTTCAATCTTTCTGTTTCTGCTTCATGAGTATCTCTGTTTTCTCTCTCCAGCTCAAATTTTCTACAACAACTCCCCCCCCCTTTTTTCTCTCTTCATCTATCCTCCTCTTTCTCCATTCCATGACAGCTCTTGTCATATCTGTTTGTAGAGAAGATATGTATATATATATATACACACACAGTAGCTCTTGGTGTTTGTTTTCACACCACTGCATGAGAAAAAGGTAGATTTTGCTCTAAGGTTACAGAGCTGCTAGATTCCAGAGCTGCCCTGCCGAATCCAATACATCAAATACTTCTCCAGTTACGGTTTGTGTGTGAGTGTGTTTGTGTTGAGCCACATATAGTCTCTCACGAAATTAGAGCTCTATACTGGGTGTCTGGCTTGATGCTTCAAATAGGGCTGATGTAATTAAAGCACACTATTGTTGATGTCCTCAGAATTTGATATAGCTATTCACATTTTCATTTTGCAGCTAGAAGTGTCCACGTTTTTGATTTGTAGCATCACATGGGATGCATACTGATGCAGTCACGTTGTTTGGATGGGATGTTAAAATCTGTGCCAGAACTGACAACCAGATTTAAGACTGGAGGGATAGATGATATGATTGGTATTTTAGGAAATACGGAAAGAAAAGCAGATGTGTAGTAACAAAAACAGATGCAACAACTTTTGCTATTGTTGCTCCGTTCAACCCATCTGTGCAGCATATCAGACCAGCAGCAAAATCGCACCGAAGACTAAACAAACCCTACAACAAGTGTCACTGTGGTGTCCCTTACCTATGTATCATGTCTTCCAGCCTCTTGCCTTGTTCTTCATCCTGCTCCAGCTGTTTCCGCCGTGCCTCACCTTCCTCCACTCCCATTCCCTGGAGGAGCCATCGCTCTCGCATGGCTTTGGACTGAGGAGGGAACAGAAACATGTTGGGTGCTTACAGAGGGATTTTTATGTGATTTTAAATATTCTGGCAGCCATTTTGGAGGCCCTCCTCAGCTTGAGAGTGACTGTGGGGAGCGCGTCGTGTTTTTAAATAAACAACTTGCGCTTTTGACATTGTAGAAATAAGAATGCTAATGATAATAATTACTTTGCTAAACGAGCCCGCTGGTCAGTCAGCTAGTGAACAGTTTGCTCATGTGCCTTGTGGAGATTTCTTGTAAACAAACAAAGTTATGTTTTCATTCGCAGTTTCTGACCAAATCACACTGTATGTGTCCCTGAATGCATTTCGTTGCTCATTAAACATTTGCAAAGCTGATTTTTTGGAATGTTTTGCCAGCTGGAAATTATATTATGTAGATAAGTATAATCTCTTCAAATAGCTCTTCTTTTCTAGCCTGGTTGTGATACTCTTAGAAGCTATTAACAGCCAGTGGACCTCCATTATGGAGCCTAATTTGTGAGATGACTGCCAAGCACAGTTCCAACAAATAAACACGTAGGCCCACACATGCACACAGTTTTTACATAACACAGATACTCTTTTCTCAGCTGTTACTCACAACAAAACATTCGCTGCTGAAGGTGAGTCCCATCAGGCCGGGGAACTATAGTAACTTGTCTCCATGATATATAGTAAGTTATCTTGTGATGTACATGTACATCACAATATTTTGCTGATACTGCTCAATCTCTTACTGTTCCTCCACAAACAAGTCTGTTTCTCTTCATGCCCGAGTGTTTTCTTTGAACTTGAACACATTTGTTTTCCTTAAATTCCAAAGAATCTGCCTCGTGCTTTCATTTTGGACACATAGATCAAGCTGCAGCCCATCTCAACAGGGATTAAGCATAATGTAAGACTTCTCTACTCTTACTGTTCCTCTTCCCTGTTTTAATGGACTTGTCTGATGTTAATAAGCCAGAGAAACATTTTGGCTCTGCCCATTGACGTTTAACAAAACTAATGGGATTATTCTGCCTCTTCTCTTTATAGAAGTTCTGTCTGCATCTTTGTCTCTCAAGACACATTGGACCACACAAACATCCGCAGACGCCTTAGCACAATGTTTATGTTAATGAGATGTATGATCTAGATCAGGGCTCTCAACAGATCTCAACAACTGTTTTGTCTGCATCAACAGGGGTTAAAGTACCAATCATCTCTTCACACGGGGCTAACTTCTTTTCTTTAATGTTGTAAAGATGAACGCCAGGAGCTGTGTGTTTATGTCGCTAATGTCTCGTCTCTGTCTGGAACTCTATTTTGTTACCACAACAGAGTCGAGCGGGAACACTTAGCTTCACCTTTGGCTGTTTACTGTCAAACTGTTGCTTGGCTCTAACAGTCGTAGAGCTGACAATGAGCAGTATGTGTGTACCTCCACGTACACACACACACACACACAACCACACACACACACACACACACAAACACATAGAGACACACACCACACAATGAGCTCTGCAGAAATTATTCCAAAGCATTTACCACCTGCTGTCAGAATGTGGCAGCGGGACTATTTGTTTGTTTGTGTCTGCGTGTGTGTTGGTTTACCTCACACAGATCATGTGCGTCATACACTCAGCGTTGTCAACTTGACTGAATGGATTTGCCTTCTTCAACATCCGTTTTAACCACTGAATTCAAATTTGAACATTGTAAAAAACTGAAATACCTGTGGATGTTTGACCTTTTCAGTGGTTGGTGTTCCCTGTCAAACCTCTTCTTTTGTACATTTTGAGATCGCTCATTGATCATTTTGTCCTCTCCTTAATCATTTAGGTCATTGAGATGCTCACAAAAAAAATCTTGAACAAAATATAGCTTTCTTGTTTAAATAAAGGTGATAAAACAAACAATACATTTGAAGTCTGGAGCCAAACTTAGTTTAAAGTCAAACGGACTGGTGCTGAGTCTGTGGGGCAGTACTGGACCAACCCATATAGACCATGTTTTGCCCATCCATGTTTTTATATCTCCTATTTTGCAGTTTTAATCACCTACTTTGGTGCTAGTGACACCATATAAGCAGCTAGTTTCAAGTTCATATTTAAAGTGACTCCACAGGGCAAATCAAAATCATAGCATTCTCTATATGAGGTAAAGTAACCATCATTTAAGCAGAGGAGGATGCTGGCCTGTACCTGACCTTGACCTCTGACCTCCCAGTGGAATTTTATCACTACTGTACAAAAAAAATAATTACATGCAATTAAAGTTTTTTGGACCATTTCAGCAGTTGACAGAAAAGTGACGAATAAAGTTGTGCAGGATCATTGACCAGTTGTTTCCTCTGAGAACCAGCTCCATCTCTCTGTTCTCGCTCTCTCACGCTGTTTAATTGACTTTCCATTTCCTGTTGAGCTCTGACACACAAACGCTCTGAACTCGACTCTTAAAGGGAAGGTTTGGGGTTGTTTAGAAGGTCTGTGCTATTCATCACAATTTGAAATAACCAATTTAGAAAAGACCAATCACCAAAACACACAACTTCCTGAGGGAAAATCAACTATATATTAAGGAGACCAGATTTGAGCAGAAAATGCTGGGTAAGGTTAACTTTGCTCTGAAATCCTTGTGGTGTTTACATGGTCCCTGACTCAGATCAACGCCTCCCTTCTAACGGGCTTGAATCATGCAGTCCACAGGTTCTTATCAAATCTCTAGGCTCCAGTCTCCATTTCCTCTCCCAGGCCACTCCGTCTCTGGAGAGCCGACTACAAAGCCTGCTTCATGCTGCCTGGCTGTGTGGCACTCAGAGGTAATGACCATTAAATGGGACAGTGTGACCAGATACTGATTACATCTGGAGTTCAATCCTGCTGGTGTTGTATGCAAAAAAACACTAAACAGAGCAGTACACAGGCTGTGCAGGGGCTCCATTCCCTGTTTAGCTCAGTGGATGATAGAGCATACCAATAACATGTTTGGGTGAGGGCACATTTAGATGATCTGTTGCTTCTTTTCATCTTTCCCTGTGGAGCATGAGCAGTACAAAGGGAATAGATACAAGACACAGGCCAGACTTTTGAGTTTGAGATCTGCAGGTGGGGGTCCTTTCTTTGGTGGCTCAATATAAAGCTGCAGACGCCAAGCGTGGCCTGGGGGATTAGCCACTAACCATTAACTGTTGTGTGTCATTCTCCATCTCCCTCACTTCACTTCCTTTCATTTGTTTGCAGCTATCTAATAAAAGGCATAAAATAATAATACAAAACAGACATCAAGCAAATGCAAAAAGCTGTTTTGACCTGGAAGAATTATTATCTGCCAGAGACAGAGAGTAAATCCCTTGGGGGTTTCCGCAATGCAGCGTTGATTGAATAAAACAACACCAGCGAGTATTCTAAAGTGTAGTACCTGCAATAGTCTGAAATGTCAGCAGTTAATGTCATATGTAATTTGTTATGATTACTACTTTTCATGCAGAGTAACCAATATCCAAGGTCAAAAAAGAAGAAGAAAGGAAATGAGAACTGACTCTGGCACTATGTTCAAGACACACAGCAAAATCTAAGCTATATGTATCACATTTACCAATTAATTTAAAATTGATACAAAATTTCTTCTCGCAAATGATAAAGTTTTCACGTTCAAATTCAGGCAGTGCTGAAAATTAGCATTAATGTTTGTTTCGCAGCTGGGCCCAGGCTGTGGAAATGTGGACTCAAGACTGTGATCGAACCCCGGTACGACAGCCTAACCTACATTAATGGTTGTATTGAACACATTGCTATAATGGTGTGAAACATATTGTGCTCTGGCTTTAATCGGTGTTATTCCTCTGACAATATTTCCATAAGTGGGTGTTAAATGCTGGAAAATGCCAGGAAGTAAGTAACACATTTCTTTAATATAGGAATCATTCAAGCCAAGTGTGTTTAAAAGCTCTAATTAGAGAATGGAATGTATTTTTATTGCAAATATTAAAACTGGCTACCACAGACATTTGTAGTATAATGGGTACCTACAGCTGTTTCCCCACCCACCCAGCATCTGTGCAGCATTTATGGTTGCAGGATTTTCCAAACAATACCTCGCAGCCATCAACAGTCCAGTATGCAGACTCACAAATAAGAGTTAAGAAGCAGAAGATTTAGCAGAACATATTTTAAGGGATGATCAGCCATCAAAATATGCCTATGTCTGGTGTGTCTCCACCTGACAGGGTTGGTCACGTGCTTCTCAGAGCAGGGGACACATTTTTCACTGGACTGAAATGTTCAAGAACTCCACATAAAATACTGATGCCTGAAAGCTGCTCATTATTTCAAACTCACAATCTGTCAGCAGTTTGTGTTCCCGTTTACGCAGCACTTACTGTTTGAACGTCAAATCAATGTTTACTTGTGAAAATCTTGGCTTACCAGTAGCGGCTGGCAGTAATTATTAAGGGATTCGTTTATGCTTGTTTGGATTTGTGTTTGTTTTTCTGGAAAGAAGAAAACAGCCAGGCCTGCCCTGCTTGGCCAAGGGTAAATTGGCCCAGCACACCAGGAGCACTGAGATTTGGATGCTTGTGTGGAATGAACCACTACCTGTCTCTTACCACTACCTGTCTCTTTATCTCTCTATGACATTTAGGGTCAAGGCAAGAACTATGTTTAGGAAAAAAGAAAGAGGGATTGAATAGTTTAAGAGAGATGAATGGGGGTCACACACAAAGCTTGTAAAGCTTTGTTGTGAGCATCATCATTGACGCCATTCATCTGCTAGCTTCTCACCCTGAACTGATCTCTCTACTTTACCTTCACCTTTGCACTGACATTATTCCAATCAAACCTTAAACTCAATATCTGACCTTGAACTAACTGTTACCTCCAGTCTCAAGCAATGCTTCATCTCTTATGTCTCACATACAGCAGCCCACACCTTTGCAGTGTTTAGGCCAGACCAAATAGTAAATGTTCAATGGCAATTAATATAAAGCGATAAATAACATATGTAAGCATAGTCCATAAGTACATTACAATGCAGGTATTTTTTCACATATCTCAGCAAACCAGAAGCTATACTTCTTAATGGAGTCTTTGCATCGCCATAATTATTTCACTGTAAAGGCAGCACAGTGTCTTTGACACTACAGCAGTTTAATAACTGACACCGCGTGAGATCAAGTTGACAATGATTTTACATTTTTTGTTTCAGTACTTGTACTGTGTTTAAAACATGAAAGCCAGTTAGAACGGTGTATAAATATATAACTAACTGGATCAAAAACCTTCACATTGGCACCGTCTTTCCACCATAGTCAAAATTAGGGTTGGGAACCGAAAAATGGTTCCAAATTAGAAACGAATCCAAAATTTAAAAAACCAAACATCTGTTCTGCCCATCGGTCCCTAACTGCATTAAACATTTATTGAACCCTTCAACAAAGACTACATATCTGCAAGGATGTGGCCATCTGCCAGGAATGGTCTACGTCATGTATCAAAGTCACAATGCGTCGATACAATTCTAGCAACACCCAACCCTAGTTAAAATTGCACACAAGCTAAATTATGATCATTGTCATACATGTGATGATGTTTACGTGTGACAGGTATTCATATGTCTGAGTGGGTTCAAAATGCAAAGCTAGGAATGAGCAGCCTGACAAAAATAGAAGACGTGTGTAAACAGCTACGTGCACTGCGTAAGTTGGGAACACACTGAATGAAGACAGATTGTTGATGGACCGCCTGTAATTTCACCAGCAGCAGAGCAACAAGACCCACACGCTTTAAATATACTGTAACACAAACCAACCTTGAGATGCTGGAGTTGTAGCACCAGGTCATCGAGCTGCCTTCTTTTGTCTTCAATCTCAGTTTGCCGTTTTCGCTTCTCCTAAGAGATGAAAAAAAAGAGAGAAAAATTACATCTCCACTCAGAACAGGGCATTTAAAAGTTTAATTGGATTTATTTTCAGTGGATGCACTGATACATGCCGCTGTATTGATGTTTTAATGTTAATGCTCATCATCTGCTAGACAAGATGCCCTCGAAGCAATTAAGTTTTTTATCCATTCAATTTAAAGGTGGGCAGAGACTTAATGCCTCTTTATGTATCGTCCAACTCAATTTAAACTTATACTGTGTTGTTTAGTCTACCCGGTGGGTGTCTGCGTTCTCTAGATTCAACAATAGGCTACAGCAGGCTAATGAGGGAAATCAAACATTAACATATCCAGGCCTTGAAGCTGAGGTTGAACTTGAGGTGGGGAGAACAATCCTTGACTTCATATGAAGATGAATGAGGCTGACGTTTGGAGGCTGGGCTGGGTGGACGGCGAGTGGGAGGTTTGAAACGGAAAGTGGAGTCACTATATGCATGGGAATATAAACAAAGCGGATCCCAGCAGAACCCCGTTTGGGGCTGAAGGGCATGAGATACTGCAGATGTGTATGTGGCTCTATCTCTCTCTCTGTCTCTGTCTCTCTCTCTCTCAGTGAGAGCAGAACGAGGATTTCTGGGACGTTTCCTGTTGGCTATATATAACCATCAGGGAAAACCCCAACATGTGAAAAAACGTTAGACCACCTCTCCAAGGGAGTAAAACTGAGTAAAGAGTGACACAGAATAGAATAATGAGGAGAACTGAGTATAGAGGAGCAAAATAAAAGAACAGAGCTGAACAGAATGGCACAGAAGAAAAATAGAACAGAATAGAATAGAATAGTTGAAAGTACCAGAAAACATGAAAACACTGAAATAAAACTGACAAAGAGACTGGGTTAAAAATTAAAAATTTTATATTTAGGGTGAAGGACTTCCAAAATCACCACCAGACCGGATGCTGGGTGGAAGTTGGGCTTAAAAAGCATTTGAGTTTGACACCAGAGACTGTTCGTTGCATCTCTTTGCCCACTAACAATAAATAATGACCACAATCTTTCCCTGACTGTAACCTAGTTGTAGTTGCCTAAACTTAACCAAATCATAAATGGTAGCAGATTAGAAAATGCTCATCTGACTTGGTTTTGTCATATTGGGTTGCTTTTGGAGACACTGACAATCAATTTTTGTGATTTAGAGTATTAAGAGGTGACAGGAAATGAGGGAGCTTCTGACATTGTGGTTCATTGTCGGCGTCGGTTGTAACTCCTAAGCGAGGGCGATTTGGATATTGCACTCGGCCATTTTGCGATTTCGATAATGCTGGGTAAAACAAGTTGAAAACACATCACAAAGCTGCACCCAGACACACAAAACATCTGCACCAAACCTGAGGTCATCTGTCTCTCTGCGTCCCCCCCTCACACCCACGCACGCATGCACACGCACATAACCAGACACACCACAGCAGCAGTTCCCATGGCTTGTGAAGTACAGTCAGAGAGCCCGAGCAGAGGGATGGTGACCAGATGTCAAGGACTGTTAAGGACATGTGGTCGAGGAATGGGCAAGACAAATACACACGCAGACACACACGCAAATACACATCAACAGAAACACACAAAAGCAAATACACTCACTAATATAAGTCTATAAATAAAACAGTACTCAAGCAGGGTGTGTGTATTCTGTCCATTGACCATAAAGAATACACATAGAGACGCACACAGCCAGATGCTTGAGATCTTCAGATCATAGACAGTTTGTTTTTATATACATAAAAAGTATAGATTGGGCATCCCCATCCACAGCAATGCTATGTTTAAAACACAGTAATGAATACTATATATAATAGGTTAGATCAGTGGTAATAGTGGCCCTTTTAGCGCTGCGGTAAATAACACAGACTCCTCATTCATTTCATGCAGCAATGCAGTGGAGGGTGCCTGCCGCAGAGGTTGTGGAAAAAAAACAACACAAGGCGGTTAGTCTGGAAAATAAAAAGCTAACATTTGCTCTACTTGTTTTGCAGCGCAATGCAACATAATCTATTAATTCACTGCACTGGACAATCAAATACTGTTCATCCATGCACACATACGTTGCAGGTACTGGTGCATACCTTGTAATGTACTTTTCAGCAATCTTCCAATTAACCTTTTGTCTACTATCAAGATGGAGAAGACAATTATTGCTTTTGTGAAAACAAAAAATATACAATAATGCTTCAAGAGTAAACCTAAATTAATTCTTAGCAGTCGCAGAATCTCAAACAAAAGCAATGCATTAGTGAAGTATTGAAGTCTAAATCGTCAAGACCCGAGCATTAGACCGAACTATTCACTCTGGTGGTGGCAGCTGGTGTGAGAGCTTCCGGAAAAAAAGTGCATCTCAGAATGTGCTGACAGAGGATAAGGCCCTGCTTCCTCAGACAGCACTACTGCGTGTTCGATGTGTCTCAAAGTTTTCTTTTTGGAATTCCCTTCCCTGAAATGTCCTCATGATTCCATATATGGACTCTGGCAATGATAATACCAAGGGGGTCAGAGCAAATACAGCAAACTCCTTCAGTTCAGACATGCTCATATACAAAGAGCCAACTTTAAAATGATCCTCTCAAACAAAATCCCACTTTAACAATGTCTTCACACATCTTTGACCATATTACGTTGTGTAAATATGGAGAAAAAGTGGATTTCTAACAAAGTGCTCTTTTGATCTTTTAAACTGGTAGAAACTGAATAGAATGAATGAATAGAAACACCACTGATCTTTGGCTTGAATTGGGTTACTGTGCCAATAGTTTAACTGTGGAGGACTATTCAACTCCCAGGGGTCATAGAGTTCCTAGGAACGAGTGTTGGATCGGTCCAGCTTTCACTTCTCAATCAAAAAAGAAATTCATAAACTGGAAGGATCGCCACTGTCTGTGAGAACAGGATTACTGTTTGCCAAAGAAATTAATAAGTTAATTCTCAGCCTTGTACAGTTGAATTGACAAGAAAAAGACCACAGGCCCAGCGCTTCCCCCAGAAAACACATCCTCCTCCTCAGGAAAATATGTTGACATTCCTGGTGACAAACTCATGGCTTCCCACACTCACTGAGTGTTTGGCCACACTTGGCTTGCTGCTAAGCTCTTCTACAGAGGACATCACTTTTCCCACTACTGTTGACACCATCCAAGAAGGTGGATACAGAGCTCCATGTTCAATATTTAAGATGGTTAAGCGCCATAGGAGACTTTCATTTTATCACATCGTAGTAGTTGGTTTGTTGTTACCATCTTGGTAACCTTTCATCCTACAGGATTAGCATTGGAGAGAGAGTTAAAACTTACAGTATCTGATTACAGACTTTGGTGTTTTTAATCCTTTACAACACAAATCACACAATAACACAAAAACAACAAAAAAGAACAACAATCTCACACAATAACACAAACAAAATATCCGACCAGCAACTCCTGTGTTCTGCGAGGTAAAATTGCTGTTTTATCAAGGGAGTCTGGTGGCTTTGACGAGAGTGCTATAGTGACTGTTTCTGGTTAAACAAAAAGGATCTTACTCTTTAAAAAAAGGGTCTGTCTCTGCAGGGATCCGTAGCATAATGTTGTCAGACAACAATCAACAACAATCTGAGCCCGTCAGTGGCAAAAACAAGCACTTTGGTGGACCTACTTTGACTGGGTGCCTATTGCCCGCAAGTATTACTTTGCAGCGCACTCACTCAGTGCTGGACCTATTTCAGAACTGTTGTCCCAATTAATCACAGAGACACAAAAACATGGGAAAATAAGGTCCAGGAGAAAAAAACCCCAAATTGTTAAGTTCAGCACGATTAACTTGCACTCTTCTTCTGTGATGTCGATGTGTGATCTTCTAACTTTCAGGTTTTGTGTGGTTTCCAATAGTAGAATTGTATAATGTTCTCAGCCCTGACAACTTGTTCAACAGTACTCCCGTTAAGAGGACTGACACTCATAGTTTCAGGCAAATGGAGTCCTTCTCTCCTGGACAAACAAACACAACCAGACTTATAAGCATGTATACCAGAGACCAAGCCCAGATTTCAAATGGCATCATTCTCATCTAGAGAAAATCAAAACTGAATAAAGAAGGAAACAAAGGAACCAATCCAGCAATGACTGGTATGGATGCAGCCTATGAAATCCTTGGATGTTTAAATGTGACATGCCGGTAATACCAAGAGGGACATTCAAAAGGGTACACCAACAGAGATCAGTAAACTGGAAAGTTTGTTAAGAAAGACCATTTCAGGGAACCTGGACCTGTACACCGATTGAAGAGCTTTCATAAGAAAAGAAAATGTGTCATAATTTGTACATAAAGACATATAAGCGCTTGAATGCAAACACACTTGCTCATTCACAGCATTCTGTAATATGATTATACATGAGCCCACGCGACAGGCATGAGGTCACACAGACGTGATTATGAAGAAGTGATGTAACTCTGTTTCGATTTAAAGAATTGCTGGTGTTGAGACTGTGAACAGACGTGAGCTACAGATCAGATGGGTCACATTCTGCACATGCCAACACACCCAGAAGAGGCATCTCGCAGCGAAGATCATCTTCCACTCAGTGGGCTGCCACATCTCAATGCTTAAAGAACAGAGATTGAAATGGACCTGCTGTTAAATGTCATGGGTTTGATTCTGCACTCACTGCGCAAGAAAGATCTTCAGATAATAGTGTAAACCATGAGCCAGTTCCCCCATATAATGAATTTATACATTTAGTGTTGAAACAATTAATCGGTAGATTAATTACAATTTTGGTAATGATGAGAAGAAAATAACCATTAGTTGCAGCACCTGCAGGCCAGTATGAAAATATAGTGGGGTGACTATGAATTTCATGTCCTTCTCAGACAATGCTAATTAGTTAGGTCTGGAGTGAACAGATGCTAATCTGGTAACTCCTTAGCCAATGATGGTGTCAATAAACGCAAACTTAGCACATTGCTGAAATGTCTTGCATGCTGGT